TTATGCTATGCCTAAAATAAAATTTATTTTATATATTAAAACTTATATAACATAAGTTTCAGAACGCAATTTCAAATAAGCTAGATAAACTTTTTGTTATTACAAAATTGTGAAACATTTTAAAGTATTACTTGCATTGTAAAAAATTAACCCACAATTTTTATTTTACTTCGGTTTCACATATCATTTCGTTGTATACACCACAAACAGTTCCATTAAAAGGGAAATTTACATTAATTATCCTCGTAATATTAAGTCAAAGTTATACATTGATAAAATCGTCACAGTTTATTTAAAACCATCAAAATAAGGACCTAAGAGAATTATTGAACGGAAATACATTACAGGATGTGACTTTATCGCTTGGAAACCTCTTCTGGTAATGGGGTAGCAGTATTAAAGCTATCCACCAGGTTTATTAGTCCGGATATAAAGTGCTCTAGAACCGTAAGAATGGTTAAGATAGATTTACTTCATAATTATACAATTATTTACCAGTATGTTACGATCTTTATTTCGTCGAATATCAATTGAAATGGGAAATTTAATTGGATTTCATTTTATAGTAAAAAATCACGTAATAATTACATGTCCCTTAAAGTTACGATAGGAAAAATATTAAGTAAAAGTATCTTTTGTGAAAATTAGTTTAACAGGGTTTAAGTTTTAACCTGTCCCTAAAGAGCACAGTGATTGTTTTATGTGTTTGGGTCGATCTAATCTCAAGTCTTGGCTCCATAAACTGAGATGTAGGGTTGACATAACCATGAAACCCTTTCATTCAGTATTTATAAGTACTCAATTCCTGAAGATTACTTTTACAATAGAATTATACAATTTACTTTTATGATATAAGAGATTAAATTTATTGTTTAATTTATTTTATTTTGATCGCCTTTATTTAGTATTAGCTTTTGTCCGTGACTTCGTCCGCGTGGAATAGTGACTTCCGGCAGATATTTGGTTCTTCCCACAATTTACATAGCTGTTTAAATCACTAATTACTAACTTATCTCAAATGATATAATGTCAATAAGATATACGAATAAATGTTTGTAAAAGAGAATATCTTGCGGCTGAATATTGGCTCACATGAATTCTTGAATTTGCATTCAAGTTGCCGTTGCAGTTCACGTTGCCGTCATAAGGCTTTGTACAGTTTTGAGGTATATCTGAATCTTTACGTAAAGTACATGAAAGATTTACAGGAAGCACTTATAACTGTATATGTTTTACATTAGAAAAGTTTAAGGATTGTGTTTGTTTTCGCCTTTATCAATTTAATAAATAAATAATAAATTGCGATAACTTTCATAGTAATAATTTTTTTTTTATGTTATATATTGTGAGAATTTACTAAAATCGATTTTAAATAGAATTGTAGAGAGCATAACTGAATGATTTGAATCTTTTTCAAATATCATAGTCTTATATGAAAGTCATAGAATAGAATTATAAAATAACTATTCTTTAATATTCTTCTATTTGTTTTGATTGAACAAGGTAAAACCTGATATAAGTGATTTTCATTTCGTCTACCCAAGATGACAGAAAACGAAAAATAAAAGAATAAAAAGGTGTAGTATATGAAAAACTTAGTTTCTTTTAAATATCCAGCAACGTTTACATTATCCATTTGTTATAATTTTAGCAGATAAAGATTTAAAGAGATAAATGTTGAAGCATATCTAATTTTGTTAAACTTTATCAGAGTATACGTCCGAAGAAGTTATTAAGTAAGAATAGCACAAACACGGAAAATAGCAAAAGTTTTCTCTAAAAATAAGAAAAAGTTACTCAACTTCTTAGTCTGGTTGTCACTGATAATCTTTCCCTTACCTAAGTTCTATTGTTACTTAAAAGTGGGAAAATTATTTTTATTCGTTCTAAAAGAAAATGCTTTTAAATCAATTTATGAGATATGTTCCTTTTACATGGTAATTAATCGTAATATAGGCATTATGTATTCCACCATCACACTTCAGCAGTTGAAAGAAAGAAAAGTTGCTGATTTTAAAAGAAAGTTAAAATATATAAATATCAAATGATACGTTACTGATTGATTTGCATCTCTTTTTTACAATAACCTTTTTAATACATAATGAAAGGCAACAAAATTTGTTTTCTTTAATATTTCACTCATAAGTATATTATGCTTACTTCTTAAAATTTGTGTTTATGATAGTACGTATATAGTTTTTATATAATAAAATTTAACGCTCATACCCTTAACATACGTATATCTATATTAATAAAGAGGAAAGATTTGTTTGTTTATTTGTTATGAATAGGCTCCGAAACTACTGAACCGATTTCAAAAATTCTTTCACCTTTAGAAAGCCACATTATTCCCGTGTAATATAAGCTATATTATATTTAAATAGAAATTAGAGATCCCTACTAAAATTCCAATAACATAACCCGAGGTATAAAAAAATACATTAATAAAGAGGAAAGATTTGTTTCTTTATTTGTTATGAATAGGCTCCGAAACTACTGAACCGATTTCAAAAATTCTTTCACCTTTAGAAAGCTACATTATTCCTGAGTAATATAAGCTATATTATATTTAAATAGAAATTAGAAATCTTTACTAAAACTCCAACAATATAACCCGAGGTATAAAAAAATGATCTGAAAAATTCCTTACGTCGCGTGCGCTGCGAAAACTATTGATGATAGAACCAAATCATTTACTACGACTTTGCAGAACTCATTATCATCTACAAAAAGTGTCGCGACAGCATATGTCTAAATATTATAGATATGTCACAGTAGGCGGTTTAATATTCTAAAAATTTAATTTATATACCGCCGCTTGAAAAGGCTCTTTATTTGTACCTTGGTATTAATCCTTATCAAAATAAATAACTTTATATTCAAGACGGCTTCAATACCTTCTTATAACTCTTTGAATTATTCAATTCGGACATTTCATTCGGAAGATATCACGAGTTTAAAAATGCAGTATTAGAAAAAAGTCGCGTGGTTGACGCTCATCGCGCTCAGCTAGCCAGCATGCGATGTAGGCTCTATGTAATGCCTCCTCTACCTCTGAAGATGGTATCGGCGGACGCGTCCGCCTACGTGTAGAGGGAGTGATTTGCTCGTCTGTGGTAGGTATTTGACGTCGGCAGACGCGTCCGGCACTTATCCGTTTGTTGTCGGTTTTTGTTGCACGGATCAAAGGGATCTGGCGCGGGCGCCCGGCGCGAGCGTGCGGTGTGTCCACACGTCTGACGACGCATCAGTGTTCAGCGGGAAGCGAGTGAGAGTGCACGCGTGATTTTCGCCGTTCTTTTTTACCTACCGCCGTTTTTTTCTTGCTTGTTGAAATGGCAAACATGAGCACAGAGGAAACATTTAAATTTCTGGAGCTGTATCAAGCAGAAAACTGCCTGTGGAATCCCAAAAATAAATACCACAAAAATAAAAATGTTCTAAGTACACAATTCATTCATTTTATTTAACTATCTACTTACAAATTCAGTTGAGTTTACTGTAAATTGGTTATTAGATATTAACAATGTGGATTTATGACGGGTAGGCAATTGTTATTTTAGTTCGAATTAAAGCCGCATTGAAACACGGTCAAAGTTATAATACAGTTTTATGTGAATGGGTATTTTGATCGTGTTAACGCGACACACGACAACTTATTTTGACCAGCTGTTATTATGCCCATTGATATAACCACAATGATTATACTTACTTATTTTATTTTTTCAGATTAATGATTCATGGAAACGTATTGCTGATACGATGGGCATTCCAGTGCATGAGTTAAAAAAGAAAAAAGATAATCTTCTTAGTACATTTAGAACGAATTTAAAAAAAAGAAATGCATCCATTCGGTCAGGGGCGGGAACAGAGGATGTGTATCAGCCCATATGGATATTTTACGATGTGATGGCTGCGTTTTTAACAGATGTTTACGAATCCACAAGTATTCTAAATACAGAGGAAAAAGTAAGTAAAAATAAAACATTCTTTATTTTTGGATTATTTATTTATTTGAGTAGCCAACACAACATACATTTCTATATACTTATCTTAAATTTATAGGTATTTAGATACTACTAGATTACTAGGTACTTTTGAATTAATGGTTATTCTCGTTAATATATCTGGTAAATTTTAATCGCGTTTCAACTGCACATGTAGGCGCTCTTCGAGGTATAGGTTGCAGTGGATCGAATGTTCCCGTGTAATTTTGTCTCCAAGACCCTGGTTGGATTAATTCTCCATTGAGATACTTATCTTCTGAATTTGGGGGACTGTACAAATGTTGAGATGTTTTACTTTTTCTTAAGAAATTGTGTAACAAGACACATGTCATTGTAATTAAAGATGCTTTAGTGATATTCAAGGGTATAGGCTTTTTGAAAATTCTGAATACGCTAGACATTATACCAAAAGTATTTTCGACTGCTACACGCGAACTAGAGAGCTTTTGATTGAATAATCTCTCTGGAGTACCAAGAGCGTGATGCCCTGGAAATGGTTTCATAATATGTGTACTCAATGCAAATGCGGCATCAGCTAAAAATACGTAGGGTAAGCTTGTATTACTATTGGGTAAGCAACTAGGAGAAGGCAAGTTGATCACATTTGTGTCAATTTTTTGCTTTAAAACACTTTGATTATAGACTCCACCATCGCTAATTCGCCCTGGGCAACCTATATCTACAAACATAAAGCAGTAGTCACTATCAACTAGTGCTAAGAGTACAATACTGAAATGCCCTTTATAATTGAAGTACTCCGTTGCGGTATTGGGTGGCGGTAGAATCATGACATGTTTCCCATCTAAAGCGCCAATACAATGAGGAAAATTAAATCCTTTTGCCTTTGCAAGCCATTCATCCGTAGTGTTAGGTATCTGAAAATAAAAATATATAGCCAATTTAAAAAAAAAAAACGCTGGTTTGCTCTTTAATGTAATATTATTATTTAAATATATTTTTATTGAATTTTTTCTTTCCCAGACACAACCTGATTTGTATGAAGAGGATAGCGCTTCTAACGTGCAGGTTAGTGACAATATTCCGGATGCTAAAAACGAAGACCATAATGATGCCGACATCCCTACTACATCTCAAAACAAACCAATTATTCAGTCACAAAAACGTCGTGCTAAAGATCCACCCGAAATGCAAGAAGCCAATAAAAAAATGAGTACTGCTTTTACAGCATTAAATAAAGCATTGGCTAACAAAGAAAACATAAAAGAAGAAGACGAATGCGATTTATTTTGTAAAATGTTGGCAAAACAAATAAGGGAGTATCCAAAACTTGAAAGGGAAGAAATAATGTACGAGCTTCATGGTGTTATGATGAACAGACGTCGTCGTTACAACACGATGCAGGGTAGATCATATGCTGTTTCTTCTCCTTCACAAATAATCCTCAGTCGACCTAGCACGAGCAACAGCATGCTTCACTAAATCCTTTAACACGTTATTGAGCGCTAAACATACTTCAGGAACAATAATGGATATAACTTGGCTTGAAATTTTAAACAGGTAATGCAAGCTTCTATAGCTATCACCAGTAGCTAAATATCTTAATGTTACTGCCAAACGCACTTTCACTGGAATGGCATCCCTCCAATCTGTATCTTTTTTAGCAATCGTTGGAGATATCTTTTGTAGTAAATATTCAAAATCGCTGCTAGACATTCGAACAAAATTATTAAATTCTCCAGAGGGCTCTGCATATAGTTCTGCAAACTGGTTTTCCATGCTATTCCTGCGAAGAAACAGAGTAATGTAAGAAGTCGTTACCTACGTTAAAAAAAACTTTTTATAAAAGAGAACCGACTTCAAAAACACTAACCCGTAAGAATATCCAAGTATATTGCCGAAGGTCATCATTAAACTAAGAAGTATTATATACTATAACCTCTACCTAAATGTAACAAATCCTTTTATGAAAACCGCAAACATACATACAAACATACAGGTCAAACTGAGAACCTTCTTTTTTTGAAGTCGATTAAAAAGCGTACAAGTTATATTATGAATAAAAAAATCCCACTTACTTTGTTCGGTTTCTATGTATAGTCAGCATCCACCACCTTCTTCTTCTCCATTTTTTTTTAATAACTCTATTGCGATAGACGCTTAAATAATACTTGTAGGTACTAAATAAATAAATAGCTGCGGCAGCAACGGTCTCTATATCCATTCTGCGTGCGTACGTGTTGCATCTGACGAGAACCAACATAGACTGAACGACCTGGCGACGTGTGGACGGCTCGTAGAGATTCATCTGCGGATGCGTCTGCGGACGTCTGCAGACAAATCTGTCTAGAGGAGGCATAAGCGTCACTGGGGTACGGAGGGGAGTCCATCACAACTAATATTATAAATGCGAAAGTAACTCTGTCTGTCTGTCTGTTACGCTTTCCCACTTAAACCTCTCAAACGATTTTGATGAAATTTGGCACAGACAATTTTTTGAGCCTGAGAAAAATATAGGCTACCTTTTATTGCGAAAAAGGGGATGAAGAGGTTGAAATAGGGGTTGAAAGTTTGTACGGGATTTCTGAATTTTAAAAGAGAAAACCATGAAACTTAATATTTAAGCACTTGATAGGATATATTTAAACATTTGATCTAGCGTTTTTGAAATTTCGACCAGTGAGGGGGTGAAATAAGGGTTGACAGTTTGTATGGGATTTCTTAATTTTAGAAGATAAAACCATGAAACTTTAAAATTATAGATCATTTAGTTTTGAAATAATTGAGATACGGAGTTTTGAGACAGCATATACGCGATTTTCTCATAGTGCACTTGGGAAAGCCCCATACAAGGCCGTCTCAAAACCCATTCACATGAAAGTTGTTGCTATGCAGTAAAACTAATTCATTAATTTAGTCGTATAAATGAGCTTTCTTTTCTATATTTTTTAAATTATTTTTTGCAAACCATAATATACATATATTAAAAGGCATCAAAGTTGACAAAGTTATTTTGGCCCAGTAGGTACATTATACTACAATTCAACGCCACATTACTTGAAAGTTTTACTAATATTATATTTGCGAAAGTAACTCTGTCTGTCTGTCTGTTACGCTTTCACGCCTAAACCACTGAACTGATTTTAATGAAATTTGGTACAGAAATAGAGTTGACTTTGAGAAAGAACATAGGATAGTATTTATCCCAGACTTTTGAAAGGTTCTCTTGGAAAATATAAAATACGATGTAACTAAAATACTTTATAATTAAACTAGCTTTTGCCGCGACTTCGTCCGCGTGGAATAGTGACTTCCGGCAGATTTTTGGTTCTTCCCACATAGTTGCCGTTCTTGCGGGGTTTTCGGAATGGTCGAGTTCCCGTAGAATTTTCAGGATAAAACCGGTTTTTTTTTATTCACAATGAAGTACTCTTAACCAACAACATTTTGATTTGTTTATTTGAATAAAGATTAATATTATTATGTTGATACAACTTAAACAAATTATTTCGACCAAATTAGGTACCATAAAAACGGTTTTTGTGAGTTAATCTTAAAAGATAAACATATACTGTCGCGGACTGTTTTTTAGATCATTAAAAGAGCTATTATTCTTTTAAACATATTTTTTGTGTATCTTGAACCGTTTTCACGCCGCACGCAACGGAAGGCTTCAAAGATGAAATAATTTCTCCCGTTTTTTACACATTTACCACTACTATGTCTTTGCTCCTATTGGTCGTAGCGTGATGTTATATAGCCCACAGCCTTCCTCGATAACTGGACTATCCAACACAAAAGAATTATTCAATTCGAACCAGTAGTTTCGGAGATTAGCGCTTTCAAACAAACAAACAAACTCTTCAGCTTTATAATATTAGTATAGATAATATCTTACGAACATTTAAAAAATCTTTTAGATGTTCATAATTTATTCTTTTTTTTATTTTATCTATCTGATAGCTTTTAACTTTATACATATTTGAGTTTCATTTTCAGGTCGTATGATAGTAAATACTTAAACATACCATGACTCATTGCTGAATTCAATTCAACAGGTTTGGAAAATAATATGAACAATTCCTAAAGGCTAAAATTATTGTAAAGTAATAATAAAAAATCTTCGTAATATAATAGTAATCGTTGCAATAAGTTAAGATACATATATATTGTTTTAATTTGCTTCTTCTAATTCTGATAAGCAATTTTGTTCATTATTTATAGTTTCTTTGTTTTTGCTCATTTGCTGCAGGATTACGTTGGGAAGGTTGTGGTTGCACTTTCCCACCGTAACCGGCTAGTTTGACAAATAGTTTTGTTTTTGACTTATTCTGTGCATTCGTTTGATTTACTTAAAAAAGGACAATGCGTCTTATTGCAATTTCTCAATTTATGTATCAAAAATAATTATAAATAACAGTCTTATAAAAGAACAAAACAACTTTTCGACATTTTTGGTTAAATTATTTTATATATTTAATAATGTAAAATATATATCTTTATTTTTGTTTAGTTTAGTTTATATGTATATTGTATGCCTCTAAAACTGACCCAGCAGAAAATTTAAAAATATTAGCCACTTGTGTTATGAGGGTTTATGGACCGATGTGGTTTACGATAAAATTTAATTCTTCGTATATTAACGGAGCCAAGCACCTATTTCAAACCATTCGTATTAGTCGTTATTTGGATGCCAATTTGAAGAAAATTATTGTCAAGGTAATCCAGCGAAACGGGTATTTCGGGCACACAGAAAATCTTCTTCTTACGATGCTTGGCGATGACAGAGAGGTTATAAGGGATATTGCATACCGAAGAATTGTCAAAGTAAGATCAGAGAAGGCTCAAGGACTGCGGATGTTTAAGGTCCCTACGTTTCATTTTGACGCCAAAGGTTATACTGATATTATTACGTGGCGAGATTACGAGATAACGGAACCCCCTCTTACTTTAAAAATTACTGATGAAATTTTGAAAGATGTGGTCAAAAACGGGCTCAGGATGTGTCAGATTATTGATTTTACATGTCACACTCAAGCCGTAGAGCGCTGTATCAAGTTGGTGACAGAAGCATCAAATGCAGTTTGTGGGGATAATAAAAGAGACGGTTTCATTAGAGCGAGACTGCTTTCGCCTACACGAATGCCTACTTTTAATACGAAAAAACAGTTTGAAATTTAATTTTGCTTTTTAATTTTTAATTTTTGCAGTAAATAAATAAAAAATATTGCAGTAAATAATCGGTTTTTTTTTTTTATTTCATCTCCTTTGGGGCATCTCAAAATATTGCGACTGGTAAGTGTAATTTTTTTACAGTTGTTTTAAATATTATAAGACAACTTTTCGTCCCTATTCCGTTAAGATAAAACGATTTTTTTTTGCTCCATACATTTTCACTCCACCCTAATGTATAACAAGTTACATTTATAAAACGGATACAATATTGAATATAAAAAGGTTATTAGTCCTCAAATTTGTTGTGCGCATCATATTACTGTCAAGTCGAGTTCATCGTCCTCAGTTACACCACTCACATATGGGAGAGATTGACGAATATCACCGCAAGTGAACGTGAATCCGAACCTAGAAGACTGTCTCCTTTTATTGAATTAGATAATAGTATGAATTGAATAAACATTATAATGTCGAAGTAGAGTTTTTCTTTTATACTAAAAAGTAAGAAAACTTTAATTTGGATTTTAGTAACAGAACCTAATGAATGTTTGATTCATGTACTCAAGTCATGATAGTTTACCTGCTAAAGTAATTGAGACCCGATTTTCCGGAGGTTGCAGATTTGATACTGCTGAAATTTATATTGTTTGAATACTATTGACAAAATTAACAAAATCATGGAAAAAGAGTTATTTTGTTATAAACATTTCCTCTTTGGAAGCGAAATTCACCCCATCGTTTCATATAGTTGTTTCAGGCCATTGTTTGCTTATCTCGTTTAGCGTTGTAAAAATATAACTTACTATTGTTTAGTCGGTAACAAAGTATCAAAAATCTCTCTCAGCCAATTAAATTATTTCAATAATGAATATATATTTCTAAATTTTAATCCTTTTCTAAATCGTTTCAAATCACTCACCCTAGGGCTGTTAGAAAAAAGGTATTGAAGTAAAATTTATTCAAGATATACGTCAAAGGAATAATTTAATCTTTAATTTAGTTTGACTTCTCTACTAATTACTGAAGCAGCTTATCAATGTAGAACAAAATATTCATTGATTTAATAAAATTAACAATTCAATTAAGAGTTCCCAGACCTATGACTTCTTCTTAGAGCAATGAAATAATCAAATTTATATTATTGTGTCAATTATCCTAAAGTAATTGATCTGTAAGTTTTTATTAGCTCTTAATAATGATAGCCCTATATAAATCTTGACTTATTAATTAGTGGACATAGTAAATACCCCCAGAGATCGCCAAAGAGTATGGCTATGTACGGTAACTATGACACGGCGGCCAAACTA